AGAGCGCAACTCCACTCCGGGCTGTAGATTTTCAACCACTCGTAACCCTGATTGATCGGGGACTTTCTTCCCTGTGTCCATCGCTTTTATGGGGTGCGGGTGGCCCGTACGTGCTTGGATTGGGTGTTCATTGTTTGAGTTTGGGGTTCCCGACTGGGATTAGAGGTGCTGTGGATGACAAGTGTATATTGGAAGAGAAGGACCTGTGCGGACACCACGTTTCTCTGTTCTTCGTTTCGCGCGTGTAACGTTGTAGTGTATGTATTGAAAAAATGCTCGGGTTTACGTACTTGCGTAAATGTTTGTCGCTGGAGATTATTTTGTGTGGTTTTCCGGTGTCAGCGGGTCGTGTGTGCCCCTGGGTGACCGTGCTGATTTGCTCATTTCCCGTGACGTGTCCATTCCGCTCTTGTACAAACGACCCGGCTGGTTTCGCGAAAGAGCCTCTGTACGTCGTGTGATGTTGATTTTTAAATGTGTACACTTGCGGAGCGGCGTTTCGCTCTTTGTTCTCTCTCTGCAGTGTTGTTTGTTTGTCACCACGTTTTTCTTTGTTCGCCTTTGTTAGATAGTATACGTTCCCCGTCGAGAGAGAGGGAGAGAGAGAGAGGGAGCAGCAACGGCGCGTTACAGCAATAGGGTGTGCAGCAGCACCGCCGACCGAAGACCCTACCCTGAGAAACCATAAAAACTTTCACGGCACATGCTCTGTTTGGTATCGTATGGAAACCAGCACCACCGGACGTGGCCAGAAGAGATAGCCGTGAGACAAGCGTTGGTCATATCTGCTTGCGTAGCCCGCGGGAGGCAAGTCATCAAGCGCCCGAAGGGGGTACACGACGTCAACGATCCTCGACATCGACGATGCTCAACCATGCTCGATGTCAACGATACTCGACGTCAATGATGCCCAACCTGCTCGATTCGCCGGGTAGGTCTTGAAAAGGCACGTCTCGACAAAGGGTTCAATGGAATGCGGTGGTGCGAGGATCTAGTTGCCTGTGATATGTTCCTAGTACAGGAATACCAAAAGACTCCCATCCACTCGTTGTCAGCTCCTGAGGCTGGCAAACCCAGTAAATAGACGCCTTCTTTTACCCCGCTCGTTGTCTCTGCCTTATTCTCTCTGGCACGCAAGAGTTCTGTAAAAAAAAAAAACTTCAAAAGTGGTAGAATTCAACACTTCTCGGGGCGGGGCCCGTACTACGTAGTAGTTTCCCGCGTACCCCCCAAACACACGCCATGGCAACGAATCAATCCGATTTGTTGCAAGAACCATCAGTTTGTTTTTTCCCAAGCCTTCAACAAACTTACGTTTTATCTTATTTTTTCCTACAGAAACGAAGCACTTTCCCAAGTCGTGTCTTACACCCCCCCCGGACGGAACATAGGTAGGGTACACAAACCACCCACTACCACCCGTGTTTCTTAAACCAGCCTTGGAACTCCTTCGTGTTTCGTGTTAACATGAGACAGGTTTATCCCGAACTCGTTCCTGAGTCATTCACCGCCGTTCGCGAGCATATGGAAATACTAGGCCCAGCATCAATGGCCGCCGCCGCCGCCGCCGCCGCCGCCGCCGCCGCTGCCGCTGCCGCCGCTGCTGCTGCTATCCTTCACCGCATTGGCACTACATCGTATTCGCATGGCATCTACGCACGCGAAGAACAGAGCACATGGCTCCCCGTCCAGAGGACCTCTCGCATCCATACCACCACACACACCGTACGTACTACAAGAGGGCGAAACTATGAAATATTCAGACAACACACGTCGCAAAGGCCGAACAAACTGCTGTCCCGATCACAACACTCCTTGTTCTTCTACCCGTTGTCCACTTTTCTTCCAATCCAAGTGTCTTATCTGTCTTATCTGCACCGGCAAAACACAAAAAAAAACAAAACAGAAACACGCACGAACCATCTCCCCTCTGCACCCCGAAAAAGAAGAAAAGAAACTGCCGTATCCTTCTTCGAACAGTTCGTAAGCGCACGCAAGACAAGCAGCCCCTTCCAAAATACCTATTTTCTCTCTCTCTCTGGCTGCCTTATGTTTTGCCTCTCTCTCTCTCTCTCTCTCTCTCTCTCTCTCTCTCTCTCTCTCTCTCTCTTTTTTCTCTGCAACCGGAAACATTCCCTGAGAAGACCGTCAACAACTCCACGTTGCCAGGTCACGAGCTGATCGAAAAAATGCAACTACTGTACTACCCCTTTCCTACAGTTGTTCGTCACGGTGATGCGCCTGACGCGAAAGCGGACGTTGGTACGTCGGCACCCGAATGCACCGCTCGTCTGTGCTTGCCACCAAATCCGCATGTGCCCAAGAACACTTTACCCCGGTCGGTGCCGATACCAAAAAAAAAAAGGTCACAAAACAGCAAAAAAGAATTCCAGCCACAGGAAAAATAGGCACATCCCTCCTCGGGCGGTACCGGTCGTTGTTCGGCGGACCCTCACGACACACGTGGTACACAAAAAACAAGACCCGGTTGATAATTGGCACGAATACACGCGGTGTAGAACCGCACTGCAATGCATTGTTTCCTCCAATTTTCCAGATGGTCCCCGTGCGGTGCGGTATGTTTTTTTTTTTTTTTTCCCATCTCGACAAGCGTAACGGTGAAGCCGCACCGCATCGCACCCGCACCGTCTAAAACAACGTGCTGTGAACCTGGTGGTTAATTTTCTCACCTGCCTGGTGGCCGGCACACATGCAAGGCGAGAAGCAAGCCCACACCCAAGGTGTTAACCGCAGGTCACCCCCCTACTATCATGACGGCTTTTCGCTTCCACCCCCGCCCCCCCGCCCTGCTCGTGCACGCACCGTAACCCCCCCCCCCGCCCCCCCTTCTACGTGCTGCTTCAAGAGCCGTTTCGTGGCCGGGGGTAGTCACACACCATCGACTAACCAGGGACACGCGACATGGAATCAACATCGAGAGACTTACACACTCCGGCACGGACAACATCGCCCTAGCCGCGCAGATGGATGGGGGTGGGGGAACAAAGCAAATGAACGCGCTACCAGCGCCAACATATACGATTAAGCCGTACTATAACCAGCGCCCATGCAACTTCCCTCGCTGCAGCTTACATCGAACTGCCCGCATTCCAAGTGCACCCCGCACCTGCGAACTACATACAACACGCACGTGCCCCCGCCGGAAACGTTTGAAAGCGCGCACACAGTGGTCTCTAGGCTGGCGCAGGAACCAACCACGAAAACGAGAGAGTGCGGAAGGCGGCAACACCATTCCCGTCCCCGAAGATTGACCAAGTATCGAAAGCACCGTATCATCGAATATCGGGCACTCCGCTCCTCCTCCTGAGGACGAAGCGAGAGAGAGAAAGAGGCCGCCTTCGAAAAGGCGAGACTACAACTGATGCCGTTTCTCCGTCATCGTTGTGGTCGTGCGAACGTCATCGCTTACTTCTCTGATAAGCTTTCCGTCCACTCCGGGTTGGTACGACGCTAATACAATGGCCATCCCGAACGTCCCGGAAAAAAAAAGCTTACAAGAAAACGAAAACAGAAGCTAATACAACGATTGAGCAGAGGGTGGAGGGCTGTGCCCGCAGTCCAACAGATCAACGTCGTCGGTGCCGCTGAACTCAGACCGTTCCAAGAACCCACGAAAACTACGGGGGCCCCCTGACCGGGAACAACATGCACCGTTGACCCCAGAGCCAATCCTCGGGGGGCGCAATGACCGGGATGCGCTTATCTAGGTAAGTACACACGGCAAGCGGAGCGCACCCACGGCGCCCCTGCTGTCCCCGACACCACAACCGAAGCCAGCGCCCCCTTTCATTCTACATCATGCCAGGGCCACCAACGATTGTTGGTGCCTTCCTTGCCCCTGCGCCCAGCTGTTCTGCCTGCCCGACTCTCTGACCGGTGCAGGTGGGGGTGCGCGAGCCCGTCAAGGAAGTAGTCGTCGTCGTGGGCCCCTTCTCGAAACCCGTGTCCATCACGGCTCCCCGACTCTCCGCACCGCATGTCCCTCCATAAAAGGAACAGCTGGTCGGACTTCCGAAGCATTAATGACGAAAAGAGGAGAATGAGGCGGGGGGGGGGGGGGGGGGGGGGGGCCTTAAA